ATTATGGACCAGAAGAAAATTCTTGGGAGCCTGAGGAGAATGTTCATGCCCCTAGGTTAGCAAGGGAATTCCACCAGAGGTTTCCTCACAAAGCTGACCCTAAAACATCCAGGGGACATCCTGGGAGGAGGGGAATACTGTAAGGACCTGGACTTGAACCTCACTGGTGTTTGGCAATGAATCTTCTTGTTGAGCCACCTAGAATGCTGGACAGTTCCTTGAATAATCTGCCTTGAACATTGTTTGTCTTGAACCTTGAACTCTTTGCTCATCCCATGAACTTCTTGATTTAAACCATATCTCTGCACTCCCTGTTTGCCAGAATATTGTTCTCTCACCAGCCGATATCTTGCTCTTGTTTCTCCTGCTGCTGTTGATATTTTAGCTCTACCTTTGGCTTGTTCCTCGACTACGTTTCTGCTTAATCCCAGCCTGCAACCACTTGTTACTGACCTTTGACTTGTTTACCAACTGTGTTTCTGCTTGATTCCTACCTGCTAATCTGCTACCGGACCCTGGGTTGTTCAGTTCACGTCATGGTGGGGCAATCCTGAGGACTGTGACCTGGTACTAACATGCAGCTAAACCCATCTGCACCATCAGGAGCTCTGGTGAAATACTAAAAAAGTGCAGCGCTAAAATAAATGCAGATCCATATTAGTAAAACGTATACAAATTCAGGTCCATAATCCAGCTAAACATAAAATCATGAATTGATAAGATCATAGTATATTAAAATATATATATATATTAAAATGGTGACAGTCTGTGGTAGGTGATGGCTACAGAAGATGTGAGTGACTTCACGTTCCAGTGGCGAGTGATAAAATAGTTAAAATACGCACTCACCAGATGCGTATCTTTCAATACGCATATAATCAATAACCAGAGGTCCCCCTCATGGGATGGAAGAGCTGAACCGTCTAACGGACTCTCCCCCTCTTGGTATTGGGCAGAACAGTGGTCGTCTCTGTTGGAATAACCCCCAAGTGTCACCGTGGAAGCCTCTCGGATATATAGGCATGATAGATCGCACTGGACCTGGCGTTCTCCTTTTACACTGGTGGGCTGATGTCAGCAATTGGGAATAACTTCTGTGCCATAAAATATAGGCTCTGGGGATGAATTGTTGGCTCACGGAGGAGTCAACAAAAAATAGCCCATAGTGTAGTTTATTTAAAAAAAAATAATTTTATTAATCCACAATATGTAGTAAAATCAAGGTATACAAATAAAAGTACACTGACCGTAAAATACTGAAAGGAGGCCACCAGACCTATGTTAGGAACTGGTGGCTGGACGTCACGGCGTTATGGCCCCTTTGACGTGTTTCATGCAATTGCACTTCCTTGGAAAGGGATAGATGGCACAGAAGTTATTCCCAATCAGCCCACCAGTGTAAAAGGAGAACGCCAGGTCCAGTGCGATCTATCATGCCTATATATCCGAGAGGCTTCCACGGTGACACTTTGGGTTTATTCCAAGGGAGATGACCACCATTCTGCCCAATACCAAGAGGGGAGAGTCCGTTATAGACGGTCCAGCTCATCCATTCCATCCCATGAGGGGGACCTCTGGTTATTGATTGATTACTATACAGGTGAAATCACCTGTTATCCTGAAAGGACGATACGTCCGAGATTCGGGGTTTATATGGGGATGGTGAGGGAAGTGTGAGTCCTTCAGCACTGAGATTGAGCCCAGCTGAAGGTAGTGGGCTCATTAACACTTTATCAAGCCCCAGAGTGCGCCTCCACCCTGGAACCAGATCGTGAACTGTCTGGGGAGTGACACTGTGTGCACAGAGACCAAAGCCTGTCTAACCTCCCAGTACTAGCAATAGGTATAGCGCAGGCTACCAGTGGGTAGCTAGGGAAAAGCTGTTGTTGCAGTAAGTAGCCAAGTTGGCCAGGATTTATTTTGATATTTATCATTTTTTCAAATATTGAAAAAATTGCACCTGTGTTTTCACCTCCACCCCTTTTTGGGTGCATTCACACACACCCGTGGAGCTAACCTTGTTACATACGTATTGAAAGATACGCATCTGGTGAGTGTGTATTTTAAATCACCTCGCCACTGGAACTGAAGTCACTCACGTCTGTAGCAATCGCCTAACAGACTGTCACCATTTTAATATACAGAAAAAAGTATGTGACCCCTTGGGATTACGTGGAGTTTTGCATGTCTGCTGAACGTCATCTAAGTCAAAACAATACACAGTCTGCTGAACATAAACTACACAAACATTAGATGTTGCCATGTTTTCTTTGCACATAACATGTAAACATTCACAGTGCAGGGAGGAAAAAGTATGTGAGGCCCTAGCTTAATGACTTCTCCCAGAGCTAATTGGAGCCAGGAGTGAGCCAACCTTGACTCCAATCAGTGTGATGATATTGGATGTGTTGCTGACAGCTTTCCTGCCCTTAAAAAACACACACCTGTTTTGGGTGTACTGGTTTCAAGAAGCACTGTCTGATGTGAACCATGCCTCGCAGAAAACAGCTCTCAGAAGACCTACGATCAAGAATTGTTGACTTGCTTGAAGCTGGAAAGGGTTACAAAAGTATCTCCAAAAGCCTTGATGTTCATGTGTCCACGGTAAGACAGACTGTCTACAAATGGAGAAAGTTTAGCACTGTTGCTACTCTCCCTAGGCGTGGTCATCCTGTAAAAATGACTGCAAGAGCACAGCGCAGAATGCTGCATGAGGTAAAGAAGAATCCCAGAGTGTCAGCTAAAGACCTACAGAAATCTCTGGCACATGCTAACATTTTTGTTGACGCGTCTACAATAAGGAAAACATTAAACAAGAATGGAGTACATGGGAGGACACCACGGAGGAAGCCATTGCTGTCCAAAAAGAATATTGCAGCACGTTTGAAGTTTGCAAAAGAGCACCTGGATGTTCCACAGCACTACTACTGGCAAAATATACTGTGGACAGATGAAACCAAGATTGAGTTGTTTGGGAAGAACACACAGCACTATGTGTGGAGAAAAAAAGGCCCAGCACACCAACATCAAAACCTCATCCCCACTGTAAAACATGGCGGAGGGAGCATCATGGTTTGGGGCTGCTTTGCTGCCTCAGGGCCTGGACGGATTGTTGTCATTGATGGGAAAATGAATTCCAGAGTTTATCAAGACATTTTGCAGGAAAACGTACGACCATCTGTCCGCCAACTGAAGCTCCGCAGAGGATGGGTGATGCAACAGGACAATGACCCAAAGCATACAAGTAATTCAACAAAACAATGGCTGCAACAGCACAGAATACGCCTTCTGGAGTGGCCCAGTCAGAGTCCTGACCTCAACCCCATTGAAATGCTGCGGCATGACCTTAAGAGAGCGATTCACACCAGACATCCCAAGAATATTGCTACACTGAAACAGTTTTGTGAAGAGGAGTGGTCCAAAGTGACTCCAGATCGTTGTGCAGGTCTGATCTGCAACTACAGGAAACGTTTGGTTGAGGTTATAGCTGCCAAAGGAGGGTCCAAAGGTTCACATACTTTTTCCTCCCTGCACTGTGAATGTTTACATGTTATGTGCAATTAAACCATGGCAACATCTAATGTTTGTGTAGTATTATGTTCAGCAGACTGTGTTCTTCTATTGTTGTGACTTAGATGACGTTCAGAGCACATTTTATGTCCAATTCATGCAAAACTCCACGTAATCCCAAGGGGTTCACATACTTTTTCTTGCAACTGTATATATTTTAATATATTATGATCTTATCAATTCATGATTTTACGTTTAGCTGGATTATGGACTTGAATTTGTATACGTTTTACTAATATGGATCTGCATTTCTTTTAGCGCTACACTTTCTTTTGAAGTATCTTGTGAGGTTTTATTCTGGTTACCTTTTCATGCTTTTAGCGACTATATCATTATTAAGCGCTCCCTGAGTATACCGGTTTATTCTGGTGAAATACCAGTTAGTACTTAGACCTCGCATCTCAGTGAACCCATGTGATCCACCAGGGTTACCTGCTTGTATACCTGTCCCACTTGTCATTGAGGGCTGATCCACTGCTATGTCTACTGGCCTCCGAGCCTGATTCCAGACCGTGACAGATGGACGGAGTAGAAGATAACCAGACAGATTGAAGTAGAGAGTTCCAGAGAATGGAAGAGGCTCTGGAGAAGTCCTGAAGGCAAGAATGGGAGGAGGTGATAAGGGAGCACGAGGCCTTGGGAGGAGCGGAGAGGATGGTTTGTGTGATGTTTTGAGATGAGGATGGTGCTGTACTAAGGGTCAGAGTTGTGCATGACTTTGTATGTTGTTGGTAATTTGAATTTTATATGTTGGGCTAGCAGAAGCCAGTGAAGGGATTGGCAGAGAGGGGCGACAGCTGGTAAAGTTGGTAAAGTGTGTGAGTCTAACAGCAGCATGATTTACTGTATGGGGGATTACCTATGAAAGGTAAGCCAAATGAGGAGTAAGTTGCAGTAGTCGAGAAGAGAGATAACCTGGGAGTGCATTAGTAACTTTGTGGTGTCCTAAGTTAAAGAGCGTGAATTTTTGAAGATGTTACAGAGGTAAAGGCAGCAAGATATAAGCAGGTCATAGGTTATGCAATTTTCTGTCCTTCCACTCGCAGCTCTGTTGTGTTCTGCCAGCAGGGGGCCTTCCCAGCCAGCAGAACACAATGATTTGCTAGAGGTAAAAGGCTGACCAGGGTACATTGAGCACTAGTAGGAGCCAGTTTTGTTATTTATAATCGACTTATGATCTCCTTCTGTATATGGATCTAGATGGGCTATTTCTATTACTATGAGGGTTTGTTTGAAGGTGTGCCTGAGTGCTTTTAATTCAAGGTGGTTTGATGGCTACAAGTATAAGGCTGGATTCACACCTGAACAAGATGTTTTTATTTTTTGATCAGGTAAATTAACATTTAAGAACCATATTTCAAGTGTTTTAGATGTGTATTCAAGCGTAAAGGGTAACTCCACCTTCATGGGGGAAAAATACATATATAGCATATACCAGGGCTTGAAGAAGCCACTCGCCCAATCGCAAATGCAAGAAGAAATTCTTGTGCGGCGAGCACAGATGGATGGAGCGACTGCACCTGTGCTCCAAGCCTCATTGTGAAGCTGAGTTCTGGTTTCCAACTTCCCGTTTTCAGCTTCTTCTGCGCCGCCATTACACTGGCAGCGCCGTTGAGGGGACAGGAGCAGGAGAGGTCCGCTCTTCTCCGCTGAGAGGAGACACCCTCTCCACTGCCGCGGGGGACTCAAGGAGAGGTCTGCTCTTCCCCGCCACGGGGGACACAAGTAGAAGCCCGCTCTCCACCACCTTGGGAGATCACTGTAGAGAAACCACTGCACTGCGCTCACACAGAGCTCAGTGGCCTTCGTATACTGCAGTATACCTCTGAGCAGAGCGCTACAAAACAAACTGTAAGACACTTATTTACTGTTCCAAAACATATTGATTTTTTTTGTATAATTTTCTGCTAAAATACGACTGGACTTTAACCGCTAACCTACAGGGCACTTCCCCCTTCCAGTCCAGGCCAATTTCCAGCTTTCAGCGCTATCACACTTTGAATGACAATTGCGCGGTCATGCAACAATGTACCCATATGAAACTTTTATAATTTTTTTGAGACAGATAGAGCTTTCTTTTGGAGGTATTTAATCACCTCTGGGTTTTTTATTTTTTCTTAAACAAACCAAAAACCACTGAAAATTTTGAAAAAAAACATTTTTTCTTAGTTTTTGTTATACAATTTTGTAAATAAGTGATTTTTCTCATTTACTGATGTGCGCTAATGAGGCTGCAGTGATGGGCACTGATAGGTGCACTGATGGGCACTGAAGAGGAGTCACTGGTAGGTTGCACTGATGGGCATTGACAGGCATCACTGATGGGCACTGAAAGGCAGCATTGATACATGACACTGATATATGGCACAGATAGGCGGCACTGACTGGCACAGATAGGCGGCACTGACTGGCACAGATAGGCGGCACTGACTGGCACAGATAGGCGGCACTGACTGGCACTGATAGGCGGCACTGACTGGCACTGATAGGCGGCACTGACTGGCACTGATAGGCGACACTGACTGGCACTGATAGGCGACACTGACTGGCACTGATAGGCGACACTGATTGGCAGCACTGATAGGTGGCACTGACTGGCACTGATGGGTGACATTGAAAGGCAGCTCAGATGGGCTCATATGTGGCATTGATGTGCACTGGTAGGCACTGATATGTGGCACTGATGGGCACTGGCACGTGGCACTGATGAGCACTGACTGCTGGCACTGATGGACACTGACAGGTGGCACTTCTGGGGCCACACTGATCATCAGGGCACACTGGTCATCAGTGCCCTGATGATCGGTGTACATGTTCCCTCCGCGGAAAGCTGATTACCGGCTCTCCTCTCCTCTCCTCTGTCAGCGTGACAGCTCGAGAGGAGAGAAAAGCCGATAACCGACATTTCCCTGTTTACATGTGATCAGCTGTGATTGGACACAGCTGATCACATGACCGGGCCGACATCTTCGGCTCTTTCCGTGATCCGCTGTGTCCGAGGGACACCGCGCACTGGCGATCGCCGCGCTGTGTGCTCCCTGAGCAGCGCATGCACGGTGAGAATGGAAGGATGTCATATGACGTCCTATCAGAACGAGAGAACCACCCTGCGCCTGTCATTGTACTATATGGTGGGCGGAAGGTGGTTAATAAATGAATACTAAAAATATAAAAGTATTATACAAAAATCAGTTTAAGGAAAAGCTGTAATAATAACTGAAAATATGTGCTCACTAACCAAAATATCGTCATATTAAAAAGTCTCTTTCTAAAGATGCAGGAGATAAATAACAAAAATACAAAATGTTCACTACAGGTTTCAAGCTGTAAAACTTGATATATTTTGATTGCACCCTGTTGCTATTAAGCTATTGCTGTTATGTTTAAATTGACATAATGCGTTGCGGTTTTTATTTTTTGTGCTATAAACAAAAAAAGACCAACAATTTTGAGAAAAAAAACAATATTTTTGACTTTTTGCTATTAAACATATCCAATAAAAAAAATTTAAACAAATTTCATCATAAATTTAGGCTAAAATGTATTCTGCTCCATGTCTGCTAAAAAAAAAAAAAAAAAAAAAAATCAAATACGTGTAAATCAGTTGGTTTACGTGAAAGTTATAGTGTTTACAAATGGCGGTGTATATATACTGGAGTTTTTTTTTTTTATTTTTTACTAGCTGTGTCGGCGATCAGCGACTTATAGTGGGACTGTGGCAGGCATTCTGACTCCGGGGGGGAACTGACATCCCCAGTGACACCAAAACAATGATCAGTGCTGATAAAATAACACTGACATTGTACTAATGGCACTGGGCAGGAAGAGGTTAACATGTGGGATGATCAAAGTGTTAACTGTGTGCTGTTTCACTGCCTGCTGTGTGTGTGCTTCACTACTTTGCATGGCTCTGTTATGCAGAGCCTCACAAAGCAGTGTGCAGGAGCTGAGAGGGGAGAGAACTGTATTTTTTACACAGTTGTCCCTCCCATCGGAGATGCTCGGCAATCATCTGGCGCCTGCGAGTAATCACTGGCAGGGACCCGGTGATTGACCACTGAGCCCTGAAATGGTGGCGCAAGAAGGACGCACGACTCGCTCTCACCCCCTTCCTGGAACTGCAAGATCACGTATACATATCCGTGATTTTGCACACCCGTGCCACCCTGTAGCAGTATTTCTGCTATAGGGCGGACGGGAAACCATTAAATCGAATATAGCCAATCTTCCAAAAATAAATTCCTAAAATGAGTCAATTTGGAAGAACGAATAGATTAAACGAATCCAAATATATGAAACAAATTTGAATATACGAAACAAACAAATTCCGAAAACAAATCATTCCAGCGTAGCGAATATGATGAAATCGAAATAGTTACCTAACGAATAAATCCAAAGCGAAACCATTTTTTCCATTGTGCACACAGAATGCTCAGCACTTCCGGTGTAACAGGTGATTTGCTCTCCTTTTGATTGGTGCCCTAGCCAAGTAACCTGACCACTGTCACATGACCGAGGAAGTAACATCACCATCACCTCCCGATCCCCAACACCGTAATATTGATCCTGGCTACAGGGGAGCAAGGGCAGCACAGTGGCTAAATGGTTAGCACTTCCGCCTGGCAGTACTAGGGTCGTTGGTTCCAATCCCAGCCACGGCACCATCTGCCTGGAGTTTGCATGTTCTCCCTGTGCCTGTGTGGGTTTCCTCCGGTACTCTGGTTTCCTCCCACACTCCAAAGACATGCTGGTTGGTGAATTGGCTCCTGTCTAAATTGTCCCTAGTATGTGTATGTATAAATGTAAGTTAGGGATCTTAGACTGTACACCCCTTCAGGGTTAGGGACTGATGTCAATGTACAATATATATATAAAGCGCTGCATAAATGGACGGCGCTGTATAAGTACCTGAAATAAATAATAAGGGGGTCGGGATGACTTTGCGGAGACATTGTCACTTTTCCTTGGATGGTCAATGTGGCATAGTCTCTTCAGGAAGTTGGGGGCTGCTGGAAGCATTTGCTAGCATCGCTCTTGTATTCTAGAGCTCCATCAGTGGTTCAACTGGTCTTTGCCAAGTCGCCTTCCTGCCAGGAAGACCAAGTTATTGTGTATAAAGGGCAGCATTTATTTATCAAGAGCTGCCGGCTAATTCCCAGCTGGGTCGGGAAAGTCGTGGTTATATTTAAATAAATGCGCCTCTCGTACGCTCCTAATGAAGCGGTTTCTAGGGTTTCCGTGGCAACAACCCTATTTGTAGAATGGCAGAACTGAATAGTTTCCAAGAGGAGTGTATAATGCACCTGCACACTGAATACCTGTCACACGTGTCTGAAGCGGGGTGACAGATATCAGCAGAGAATAGCAAGAGTCTACATAATCCTGAGATAATGGCGGCCCAGCAGCTGTACAGCATAAAGAGCCAGCACTCTGAATAAATTACCTCCGAGGGGCTCATCTGTCGCTTGCCGCGCTAAAATGCCAGTTATAGGTCTGCCAGGGGAGATGCTGCAAAAACCTGTGATTTATTCTCCACAGGGGGCTTAAATACACCACATCTGTCGGATACTGTCTCGGGTGCGTAGGTTAGGCGTTTGACATTAGACTTTTTTTTTTTTTCCTGCTGAAACATGCTACAGAAGGGGAGAGGGATGTAATATATACAGTATAAGGCCTCATGCGCACTGGACGTTTTTACAGATGTTGTTTTGGGCTTTTGACGTCTTTCTACAGCCAGTAAACCCCCCAGCATGTTATCCTATGTGTCCATGCACACATAGGCTTTAATCAGCGTTTTTTGGCTGGGGGAAAAAAACCCCAAAACTAGTGAGTTTCTAGAGGAGTTTTTTTAGGTGTAAAAATGCTCTAAGGCCCCATGTACACGGGACACTTCTGAACAATGGAAATGAACTGCTGGAAAACGTAGATTAAAAAATGTCTGTTTAGCTGCGTTTGCATACCGCGTTTATGTGCGTTTGCGTTTAGAAACGTTTTTTAAAGATAAGCACAGGAGACCTTCCCAAATGCCCAGAATGCACTGAAAAGTGGTAAATTATTAACTATTTCAGACTGTTTCAGAGAAATACAGAGTAGAAGCAGAGACAGCAGTATGTGTTGAGATTAGTTTAGGTGTGAGTTGCTCATTAACATTTCTTTTGTTTCCAAGGGTGGGAAAGGTGTCTGGTGGAGTGAGCCAGTAAGGCCACCTGGCAGGGGGTCTTCATGAGGAATTTGAGGTGTGAATGTTAATTAGCATATCTTTTGTTTTCAAGGGTGGGAGAGGTCTGAGGTGTGAATTGGTCATTACAATGTGTGACAAGCTTGGTAGGAACATCCTGTGTTCAGTGTTTTTGTCCATCTGAGTACCTTGAAAACACTTTGCATGCATTTTTCATGATGAAAAAAGGCTCTGGACAGCATTGGGAACTGGAAGAGTTAAAAAAAAAATAGCTTAGGTGTGAGTTGCTCATTAACATTTATTTTGTTTCCAAGGGTGGGAAAGGTGTCTGGTGGAGGGAGTCATTAAGGCCACCTGGCAGGGCGTCTTCATGAGGAATTTGAGGTGTGAATGATCATTAACATATCTTTTTTTCCAAGGGTGGGAGAGGTCTGAGGTGTGAATTGGTCATTACAATATGTGACAAGCATGGTAGGAACATCCTGTGTTCAGTGTTTTGTCCATCTGAGTACCTTGAAAACACTTTGCATGCATTTTTCAAGATAAAAAAAGGCTCTAGACAGCATTGAGAACTGGAAGAGTTAAGAGAAAAAAAAATTTCAGATGCAAATGCTTATAAACGCGATTAGCCGCGCTTACAAGCGTTTTGCTTTTGAAACGCTGATAAAATCGACTGCCTAACGCAAGTTTTCTGCGTTCAAAAAAACGACTGTAAACTCAAATACCTGTAAATGACGATGTGTACATGGACACATAGGAAAACATTAGGGAGAGTTCAGGGGCTGCTGAAAAAATGCTGAACAGCTCCTAAACGTGAGTTTATCCACTGCAGTGTACATGAGCCCTAACACTGGTAAATGTGGTAAAATGCAGCAAACTGGTGGTTTTGTGAATAACCACTAACGCAGCTAAACGCTAGTGCAAAACTGCTAAAAAAAAAAAAAAAAAAGTGGAACAACTCATGTTTTTAACACGACTTTATACAGCGAATGCTATTGGTGTTTTTAAAACACCCAGTGTGCATGGAGCTTAGCAGGCAACGTTTGACATTCCTAAACTTTTAATTTTCAGAATTGCGGCACAAATATCTCTGCCCAAATTGTTGTACAGTATATCTAACACAGATTGCCTACAAGTATATAAATCTCTGCATTTTACATCCTTTATTTTTTTGCAGCCGTTTGGTTGTGCCTTATGCCACTATTCTTGCAATATTCCCGGCTCTCTGAAGAGGCATTATAACAAGAAGCATCCCAATGAGGAATGCGTGAACTCTGGAGCTGGGGAGCTCTCTGCAGAATCCCTCGTCCTCCAAGGTAAGTGTCAGTTCCCTGTTTGTTCAATTACCCTGTAAATAAAGAGGGTGAGAGAGGAAGGGCACCACCATTATTTTTACTCCATTACATAGGCAGAAATAAAAGAACTTTGTTAAAAAACAAGTTTGAACATAGAAATAAATTATACTCACCTAGATGGCTGCAGCATCGATCCCAGCTGCAGCTGTCCACCGCCCACTGTACACGAAGTACTAAGTAATCAAAGGTTGCTGATTTGCTCAGTTCTTGTATTCAGTCTACAGAGAACTGGTCATTGTCAGTCACCGGCTCTCTGTTCTGCCCTTCCAGAGCCCATTGGGGTACCGGGCTATGGAGGGAGTGGAACTGGATGCCTAAGGCTTTCAGCAACACTCTTCCAAGTCATAATCTTTCCAGAGCCTGGACCGGGATTTAGCCCGCTGTCATCTGAATATAGGTCACAGGAGTGCAGAAATATATATATAAAAATAAGTGGCCATAAACATTCAGTTAATTTATTCTATTACATGGTTCATGTTATCTGTTCT